TTATTATTTTTATTTTATGTGTATGAGTGTATTGCCTGTGTCATGCAATGCCACAGAGGTCAGAAGAGGGTATCAGATTCCCCTGGAACTGGAGTTAAGGATGGTTTGTAGCCACCATGTGGGTGCTGGGAATCAAACCTGGGCCTTCTACAAGAGCAGTCAGTGCTCTTGACCTCTGAGCCATCTCTCTATTCCCTGTTGAATGTGAAATAGCATTTTTTCTTTTAAGAAAAAAAATGTTTTCAGTGCTGTGGCTTGAACCCAGGGTCATACATGTGCCAGGCAAATGCTCTATTACTATGCTGTGTCCCCAACCTGGAAAAAACAATCCCAGTTTTAAATAGACATCATGTGAGGTGGTGTGCCTAGCCACCTTGCCCTCCTTTCCTTTCTGCTTGTCTGCCAGCTTTCTGTTTTGTATTGTTTGCTTTCTCTTTCTCTTGAACGCCTTTTTCGCGGTATAGCTGATCTTCAGGTCTCAAATGCTACTCCCAGGAGAGATCTGTAAATTACTCTGTATTGAGTTACCTTTCTATGTGACACTTTATCAATCTGAATTTGTCTGTCTGAATTATGTGTTTATTGTGTCTCCCTTTTGAAGGGGTTTTTAATTAGTCTTGTTCACTGCTATTTCACCAGTGTGGACACACTGCTTAAAAAGAAAAAACAAGATTCTTAAAACTATACTCAGATGGATTCAAGATAGGTTTAGAAATAACACGAGGTACTTTTTCTTTTCTCTGGTTACATATATGTCCTAGTTTGCTTTCTGTTGCTGTGATAAAACACTGATCAAAACCAACTTGAGGGAGGAAAGGGTTTATTTCGTCTTACAGGTTAAGTCCATCATCAGGGGAAGCCAGGGCAGGAGCCTAGAGGCAGGAACTGAAGCAGAGTCCATGGAGGAACCCTGCCTACTGACTCGCTCAGCTACCTTTCTTATACAGCTAGGTCCACCTACCTATGGATTTCACAATGGCTGGGCTCTCCTACATCAGTTAGCAATTAAGAAAATGCCTCAGCTGGGCATGGTGGCACACGCCTTTAATCCCAGCACTTGGGAGGCAGAGGCAGGCAGATCTTTCTGAGTTCGAGGCCAGCCTGGTCTACGTAGTTCCAGGACAGCTGGGGCTACAAGGAGACCCTGTCTCAAAAAAGCCAAAAAAAAAAAAGAAAGAAAAATGCCTCACAAGCATGGTCACAGGCTAATCTGATGGAGACAATTCCTCAGTTGAGGTTCCCTCTCCCCACGTGACTGGTTTATGTCAAGTTGACAAAAACCAACCACAGCACAGCCAGAGTGCAGCTGTGCAGTGGTTTCTTAGTTTTGTTCTCAGTAGTGGTCAGTGCTTTGTGTTTAGCATTTGTAATATAGATGATTAGCTATTAGCTTAGAATTTGTTATTTTTTTAAATTACAAAGAAAAATACAAGGTCACATCCCTACTAAGACATTGGCTTAGAATGTAACCAGTAAGAATTTCCATTCTAAATGTATTGAATTTTTGCCATAAAAATGTAGCAGCCTAAACAGAATAGTACTCTGAATCTTTATCACAGTCCCTGTTTCTTAAAATCTGTTTCATTCTCTGTTTCTGTTCATTTTAGAAGTAAATTTAAAGTACTTTTAGAAGTACTGTTATTCACAATAATGAATAAAGTTTTATTTTCTCCATTATAGGTAAGAAACCATTTGACACAGTTTCAGAAGCTATACCAAAGTGTCATCTACAACAGGATTTTGAACAGGTATATATGTACTTCTTTCTAAATTACTATATGTTCCTTGTATGAAATAATGGGTTGCATGTTGACATTTTCATATATGTATGGTATTTAAAAATTATTTTTGGTTTATTTTAGGTGTATTAGTGTTTTGCCTGCATGTATGTATATGTACCATGTGTGTTCAGTGCTTGTGGAGGCTAGAAGAGGGTGTCGGATTCCCAGGAACTGGAGTTATGGATGGTTGTTAGCTTTTATGTGGGTGCTGGGAACCAAACCCCAGTCTTCTGCAAGAGCAGCCAGTGCTCTTAACTGCTGAGCCATCTCTCCAGTTCCCTTATAGTTGATTTTGATAAGAATGTTCTGTAATTAGGACTGGAGAGATGGGTCAGTGTTTAAGAGCATGGGCTCTTCTTGCAGAGGATGGGGCTCCATTTCCAGCACCCATACGGCAGCTAACAACCATCTCTAACTCCAGTTCTAGGGGAATCCAATGCCCGCTTCTGACCACCACTGGCAGTATATGACACAGATGCATTGATCTACATGCAGGCAGTATACCCACATACACATTTAAAAAAAAAAGAAAAAAGAATGTTCTGTAATTTATATAAAAATTGTAACAATACAGAAGGGCCCAAACTGTCTTGGCTCACGACTCCCATCATCTCAGGAATTTTCTTCATTCTGTTCCTTGGCCAAAAGAAATGCATAAGAATTCTATTTGTTGAAGGCTAGCATTAAACTATAAGTATGATCTAATAACTTAGCATTTTATTTTCAGGTAAGCATAGCTAATGCAATATATGTCCATGTTGGGGTACTATACAATTTCTGAAGCCTCAGAGTAGATTAGAGAGCACCACTATTTTTTGTTACACATTGATTTTCTTATGACATTTGCTATTTGTCTTAGCAATTTCTAAAAACCCAGCTTTATAAAGATAAGATGCCAGCTGACTTCTTCCCTATACTGAGGAGGCAGAAGCAAGAGATTGCTGCAACCTTAAGACCTGCCTGATCTATATAGTGAGTTCCAGGCCAGCTCCAGGTGGAGCTATAGGGAGACCCTGTCTCAAAAAGACCAAAAAAAAAAAAAAAAAAAAAAACCCAAACAAACAAAAACCTCTCAAAACAATAAGACACATGATGTCATTAAAAGATACAGTGTTGGGCCTGGTGGTATGCTCCTTTAATCCTAGCATTTGGGAGGCAGAGGCAGGTGGATCTTTGTGAGTCTGAGGCCAACCTGGTTTACATAGCAAGTTCTAGGCCAGCTGGGTTATAGAGAGACCTTATGTCAAAAAGACAGATAAAAAAAAAAAAATACAGTGAGGTCAGATGTTGAAATTGAGTAAGTTTTTTTCATTCCCAACAGATAATCATGTGATACTGTGTTTCCTTAGATGAAGTTTACTAAGGCATTGTAGAGTACCTTTTTTTTTTTTTTTTTTTCAGTTTGGGAACCATGGTAGCATTTTAGAAATAATTACACTAATTAGGGTGAGTTGGAATTCTAGAATAAATCATCAAGGTTGGTGCTTCTCACTTGAGATTCTGTTAGCATTTTTGGAGTGACAGTTCTCATTATATTTTCTAGCAGACATGTTCAACAGAAAAGAAATGAAATGCTTCATTTGTCTTCATTTTACTCTACATTATTCTCCATGTTACTGGTCTATTTTAATCACTGACCTTCTTGCCTTCTTTGTTTCACAATTTAGTTTTTTACATCTATTTATTTATTATTTTGTCTGTATTTTTGTGAGCACATGTGTGGTAAATTGCACTTTTGGAGGTTCTGAGGACAGCTTGTGGGAGTCAGCTCTCTTCTACTATGTGGGTTCTGGAGATCAAAACCAGGTTGTGAAGTTTGGCATCAAGGACCCTTCTGTGTTGAACCATCTCTTTTCTTCCTTTGTCACTGTACAGTCCAAACCTTCTTGGATTACATGCATGTGCAGCTATATCCAGTTTCTTTTTTAATTTTCTATTTATTTATTTATTTATTTATTTATTTATTTATTTATTGATTGATTGGTTGGTTGGTTGTGTGTGTGTCACAGCCTTTGCGTAGGGGTCAGAGGACAGTTTTTGTGAATCTGTTCTTTCCTTCCACCAGGAGGTTTGGAGAACTCAGGTTGTCAGGCTTGTCAATTGCCTTTACCTGCTGAGCCCGCATCAATCCAGAAACTTTTCTTTCTTTCACTTCTCTTTGCTTTTCATTTTCCAAAAAAGGGCTCTCAACTGGTGTATATATAGCCTCAGCCTGCCCCAGTCGTTGTAGGCGCTGCTTAGAGAAGCCATCTCTCACATCACAGTCTTTGTAGGCGCTGCCTAGAGAAGCCATCTCCCACTTTCCAGAGTGGCTCGGGTTTCTCCTCTCAGAAAACCGTGTTCCCTTGTCCTGAACCCATGCTTCAGCTTAGGTTAAAATTCACTCATGTGATTAGATAGGGTCTCCCTGTAGCTCCAGCTGACCTGGAACTCATTATGTAGACCAGGCTGGCCTCAAACTCACTAGTTTCAGTTGAAAGAGTGCTGGGATTAAAGGCGTGCACCACCACCCCTGGCTCTAGCCTGGTTTTAAGAACAAGAGAAGCTCTTTAATGACACCCCCCCCCTCCGCAAGACAGGGTCTCAATATGCAGCCTTGACTTCCTTAGAACTTGCTTTGTAGACCAGCCTGACCTCAAATTCACAGAGATCTACCTGTCTGTGCTGAACAAGATGAATATTTTTATAACCTTTACTAAGTGGTCTACTCCTCCATGACTATTTCAACTGAATATATAGAAATATATAGCTCAAGTACTACTTATTCCACATCAAAACTTGGCAGAGAACAGCATGTAAATGACTTTGTGTGTAAATGACTGTTCCTAAAACCCCGGCTCTACCATTGGAAGAGCGGTACATGACAGCATAAAAGACAAGGCATTTATTTCTGTGTGTGGAGTAGATATTCCCATCAAATAAAGAAGAAGTATAAAATGCTTAACAGTCAAGTTTTGCTTTTGTTGACCTTGCATATTTTTAAATTCAGAAGCATAATTCCAGGCTGGGGTTGTAGTTGAGTAACAGAGAACCTGCCTCTCATGTAAGAGTCGCCAGATTCTGTCACCAGCCCCCCAAATTGTTTTTCAACAAAAGTTCTATGTGAAAACAGGTTTGCTTTTCCTTTCAAATGAGATTTAGAATGTTTATTCTTGAAAAATAGTAGATTCAGGTGATACATCATTGTCCTTTAGTTAACTCATCCATCAGAAATCCTTTAAGGACATTCCTTTGCCTGTTAGCCATCTTATTTTCCCATGTCCTGGGTAGCCTTCGTAAACCCTGTGTGGAGTAAAACTGCTAAAACCCTCAAGGGGGCAGCAGAGAAAGCCATTTGAAGACTGAAGCAGACCACAGGGAGGGAATGAAAAAAATCTTTTTGAGGGAATAAATTTGCCTTGGAATCATACTTTTAAGACTTTGGTCTAGAAGCAGGAAGATGCAGATACATGGGGATGCACAGAACCCTCTATCCATCTGGGTAGTTAATCCTGATAGCCTACAGAACCTTCAAGCAAAGCAAAGTGCATCTTTATTCCTTCTCTTTCTTTACTTTCTATGATTGTCTGCTTACTGGTTGCTTTCTGTATGCCAGATAGTGCATTAAATATGGTGATACACAAAATGATGGTCTTTGCCTTGAAGAGGCGTATAAGAAAAACATCAGGATGCATTCTGTTTTATATAAAGTGTGTGTGTGTGTGTGTGTGTGTATGAGAGAGAGAGAGAGAGAGAGAGAGAGAGAGAGAGAGATTTAGTAGAAGCATAGCAAAAGAACAACTGAATATTCAGGCCTAGTCATTATCACTGTCCTCATCCTTATAAGTCATACTTATTAATGTTCAATTTGAATATAGATAAATAGATAATATTTAAAAAAAAATATTTAATGTGAATGAATGTTTTGTCTTTACATGTGTTGCGCAGTGCCAGAGGCCAGAAGAGAGAGTATTAGATCCCCTGGAACTGGAGTTTTAGATGGTTGCTCACCGCCATGTGGATGCTGGGAACTGAACCCGGGTCCTCTGGAAGAGCAGTCGGTGCTCTTAACCACTGAGCCATCTCTCCAGCCCAAACTGATGCTCTTTAATTTGCCCTTAAATATGTTTTAGGATTTCCTGGTTTTCAGCATTAGTCCTCCAATATCTTCATTAAGTAATATTAGTAAATACTTAATAAAAGGTTGAATTATCTATTATTTTCTTTGCATGTACATTATGAATATATATGTCACTACATTATGAATATACATGTCAATACATGTATACTTATGTAATTTTATTTTAATAATTTAGCCTGTTGAGTTTCAAGGACATCAAGTGAAAGGATCAGCTACTAGTGGTTTCACGGTCAGAGGACACAGCTCACAGCTAGGATGCAGTCAGTTTCCAGATAGTGTTGAATATGAAAACTTCATGACAGATACTTGTGTTTTGACACCAGACTTGCCTAGCATTTGTATGCAGAATGACTTCTTGCGGGTAAAAACTACTTTTTTCTTATTTTTTTGATTTTGTGGGTTTGTGCATGTGAGTGCAGGTGCCCTCAGAGGCTAGAGGTATGGGATCCCTGAGGCAGTTGTGAGCTGTCCAATGTGGGTTCTGTGAACTGAATCAGGTCCTCTGAAGAATATTATGTGCTCTTAGACTCAGTCGAGCCATCTCTCCAGCCCTAAATATATATTTTTAAAAATTATTTTGTATCTGAGTGCTTTGCCTGTATATATTTAAGTACACCATGCATGCGATGCCCACAAATGCCAATAGAAGGCATTGGTTGTTAGTCCCCGTGTGGGTGTGGGGAAACTGAACCTGGGTCCTCTGGAAGAGCAGTCAGTGCTCTTAACTGCTGAGCCATGTCACTAGCAGTCCCATTCTTCCCCTCAACCCCCCATTTTTTTTTCTTTTTTTGAGACAAGATCTCACTATGTAGTCCTGGCCTGCCTCTGCTTCCCAAGTGCTAGGATTGAGGTGTGCACCACCACACCTGACTTTGCAGGTCAAAAGTTTTTTTATAGTTTCATTTAACCAAATCATTTTAAATCTTAGTTCAGGAATTAAAGAGTAAATTGTCAAGAACCAGAATAGCTCAAATCGGACTACATGAAGCACAAATGTTTTATTAGATTTCCAATTTGTTGGCATATAGTTAGTTCTTTTTAACACTCCATTTAAATTATCCTCCTTTCAGCAAAACCAATGTTTTTGTTTTTTGGTTTGTTTTTCTTCCATGTTGCCATGTCTATACTCTTCCCCAGTTTTCATAATATTGTACTTTGTGGTTAACATTGTTCAAATTATTGAAATTAAAACTTGCTAGATGTAATGGCTCTTACCTATAATCCCAGCCCTTGGGAAACTGAGGCACGAAGATCATTGTAAATTTGACGCCAGCCTGGATACATAATGACTTTTCAACAGATCAAAGGGGAATAAAAGAGGACAAAAGAAAGGAAAAAAAGGAAGAAATTTGTGAGCTTCTGTTTATTTGTTATATTTGAAATTATTTCCAGATGTCAGTTATGGTCATGAGGTTATACAGATCTGAGTTTGACCTACCAAGATAGATGGGTGGGTACTTTGAATAAATATGACAAATTGCTAACATACAGCATTCTCTGAACCTTAAGATATACTCTGTATTTCATCAAATTACATTATATGAGAAGCACTTATTTTGTTAAACATTTTTCACACTCACTTAGAAAAAGTGATTTTTTTTTTTTTTTTGGTCTTTTTGAGACAGGGTCTCCCTGTAGCCCCAGCTGTCCTGGAACTCACTATGTAGACCAGGCTGGCTCTGAACTCGCAGAGATCCACCTGCCTCTGCCTCCTGAGTGCTGGGACTAAAGGCGTGCACCACCATGCCTGGCGATTAAATTTATTTTGTAGCCTGAAGTTTTCTCCTTTTTCTCTGTTTAAAATTATATCAAATAATTCTGTTACATTGTTACTTGATATGTACATTGTGTTACTGTACATAAAGTCTGACTTTAAAAAAATGTGAAGTCACAAAATTTGCAGGAAAATGGTTGGACCTAGCATGTATGCTATTAAGCAAGGCTACCCAGTCTCAGAGAGGAAAAAAAATTCCATCCAAAATGCATGTTCTCCCTCACATATGGATCCTAGCCTATAATGTGTATACACACACACACACACACACATATGTGCAAACAGTGCATGTGTGGGTATACTTTAACATTTAGAAAGGAGAACAAAAAGATATATTTAGAAAGGATAATTAAAGGGTAATTTTTTCCTTATCTTTTTATCGATTTTTTTTTTGTGTGTATTTCATGCACAATATCTCAATCTTAATCATCTTTAAACTCCCGTCCTCACTGGCACCCTCCTATATCTCCCCCCACCACTGGAACCATATACTCTGTCATCAGTGTTAAGGCCCACTGTGTCAAGTCAGTGTCTCTAGACATTCCCCAGTGTAAGTCCATCCACTGAGGTCTAGTCATCCTATCTAAATTCCCTTGTTTTAGGAAGATCAGCTCTTCAATCAGCTGAGATTGGGGTCTGCTGTTCATTTCCGCAGTTCCATGCTGGGATTTTGTCTATGTAAAAACTTTGCTGAGTTTACATGTGACTAGTATATGCTGACACCATTGCCATAGAATCATATGAGCAGAGTACCAGGAGCTTGTAGGACTATTTCCATATAGTCATGCACCTCCTGTCTGGCTCTTAAAAATCTTTCTGCCCCCTCTTCCACAATGGTCCCTGAGCCCTGGGTGGGTGAAGTTTAATATAGGAGTTCAATCCAAGGACCAGCTCTCTGCAGATTTTTGATCTCTACATTTTGGCCATTTGTGACCTTTTGTGTTCCTGGCCCTCTGTTGTATGAGGGAGCTTCATTAATAAGAACTGAGAGATTTCATTAGTGTTCTCTTCTTTACCCCTGTTCTATGTTCCATGAGCCTTAGATATAGAGGTTGCATTGTAGATGTGTTGCTTTAGACAATGACTCTGTGTGACTAGTTGTGGTACTTGGTAATAGTCTCCAACTGGTGCAAAATGAGTTTCTTAAATGAGTGGTGACTGGGATATTTGTAAATATATGGATACATATTTTGGACATAGTAAGAAACTACATTAGTCTTTGGGGTTTTCTCTAAGATCTGTGACCACTCCAGCCATGTGTATTAGGTTATGTTTATAGTACTGCACTTAAGTTTCTTCCCATTGAGTGGGCTTTTAGTCCAATTAGGTAGCTGTTGATTGCCCCTGTGATAAACGTGCCACTACTGCACTAATGTCATATGCTGTGTTGGCCATTGATGTGGTTATTTGGTCTTGAAGCTGGTGTTGGACCATCGATTGATGTTTTCCCTTGGCACCATCATAGTGCTCTCCAAAGATATGAGAGCTAGCCTTCAGGGGAAGTGGTTTCAGGTCAGCTCCAGCTCTATTGCTTCAAATCCTGTGTCCGAAGAATGTTCTGTCTTCAGCCATAGGGTCTGACCTTCAAGTTCTGGGAGGCCATCAAGGGCTGTGGCAATAGCCTGAGTAATTCTGGGAGTCCCTTAGGCCACCCTAGCCAACAACTCAAAGGAGGGTATCTCCTATTTGGCACTGTTTCTTGTTGTGTAGCCTTTAGCTATACACATGGACTCATGTAGAGATACTGTATGTGTAATCTGTCATTAGGTTGTTGGACTAATATGATTCCTTTTTCTTTTTTTTTTTTTTTTTCAATGATCTAGGTATTATTATCTCTCCTCTCTCTCTTCCCCTGTCTCTAACCCTTCCACCATGATTTCCCCATTTAAAGTGTCCTCATTTCTCCCTTGATAATACCGGTCTCCTATGGTCCCACCTCTCTTGAGCTCCTCCTTTTCCTTTATCCCCAAGGTTCCTTGCATAACCCTCCCCTCTCCCATTTAAATAGCCCCATTTTATCCATTTCTCCCTTAGTAACACCTGTCTCCTGCTGTCCTTCTCTCAGGTTCTATTCAATACCCCATGGAACTTTCTCCAAAATCAGCCACATACTGGGACACAGTTCTTGTATTGTTCAGAATTATTTTGACTGTTCTATTTTTATATGTAAGAGCATTTTGCTCTCCTTTTGAGAAGCTTTTATTTAGGAAGGTTAGTGTTGGAATTTCATACAGAGTTCACATAAGTGCTCAGGCAATACAAAACATATAGGCATTTTTCCCATTATTATAGTAAGAAAACAGTACAGCACATGAAAGGCCAGGTCACATCAAAGGAGGTCTCCTTTGATGCATACACAAATAGGGTTAGGGACTTGACAGCCTGTTCCTAGCATCCCAGAAATAGGTATCTTATCAGTCCCAGCATCCTGGGAACAGACATCCTCTCCTTCAAACCTCTGCATCAGCAACACCCGAAGAAGTCTGCTAACTCAGTGAGCCAAGTGCCAGAAGTCTGTTCTCTTAGTCAACAGAGTGCTCTTGTCCTTAAGTGACAAGGGAGGCAGCAGCATGTCTCTCTTTCTTTGTAAACTGATTGATAGTAAGCATATGTTTTAAATTTATTAGTAAAATGGGATACTTAGCTTAAAAAACATTTTTACTAAGCAAGGGATAATGAATAATAACAAAAGAATAGTCCTAAGAATGGGTAAAGTCAGGAAAACCAGTCAGACCAGGCCCAGGCTTTGCCTTCATGAATATTAATTGTTAAAATTTGGTTTATTTGTTGTTGAATAATATTAGAATTGTTGGTGATATTAAACCAATACATTTCAGGAAATGGTTTACAACCTAAATGATGTATTAGTAACAGGAAATCAATAGTTGCTTGATTGTATGGTGTCTTAGTTTGTTTCTCCATTGCTGTGACAAAATACTCTGATCAATAACCAACTTGGGGAGGAAAGAGTTTATCTTACATCTCCTGGGTCACAGTTCATCAGTGAGCCCAAGGTAGGAACTCAGGGCAGGAACCTGGAAGCAGGAGCTGGAGCACAGGTCATGGAGGATCACTGCTTACTGGCTTGGTCCCCTGGCCCCTGCTCAGCCTGCTTTCTTATGCAACAGAGGCCCACCTGCCCAGGGGTGGAACCACCCACAGTGGTCTGGGCCTTCTCACATCACACAACAATCAAGAAGATGCCCCACAGACATGGCCACAGGCCATTCCAATGGAGGCAGTTCCCCAGTTGAGGCTCCCTCAGCCCAGGTGTGTCAAGTTAACACTAAAGCTATCCAGCACATATGGGATCATGGTGGTGTTGGAAATATACCAGTCAGCTAAAAAGCAAGTAAAGTGAGTGCTGGCATAAGTGGGATCCTTATTTTTTTAATACTATGAGGAAGGCCTAACATAGTGAAAGTGGTAAGTGTATGAGTAATGACGTGATTGGTCTTTTGCTCTGCTTGAGCAGTTGTCCAAGTAAATCCAGAAACTGTATCAACAGTAACATGAATATAAACGTTTGAAAGTTGGAGCGTGCATTTCATCCTGTGGTCACCAGCTGTGGCTGCTCTCCTCCGGCT